TAATGGAAGTCAAATAGTGAGTAATTTTAGTCTTAAACATAGTCATTAATTTTCTATTCCAATTAGTATTCAGAACAAAAATCAATGTTAGGTGATTATAAGATTTTTTTTTTTTAATTATAAAATGTTAGCTGGGAATGTTGCTCAGTTGGTATTCGTAGTGTTTGCCAAGCATGCATGAAGCCCTGGGTTTGATCCCCAGCACCCAGTAATCCGGCTATGGTGACCAATGGCTATAATCCCAGCACTCAGGAGGTAAAAGCAGGAATATGAGAAGTTCAAGATCATCCTCAGCTACAGAGCAAGGTCAAAGTCAGCTGGGTATACATGAGACCCTGTCTTAAAATAAAAAATAAAAATAAATCATCAAATGGAAGAATATAGAGAAAATCCCAAATACCAAACATGCATGAAAAAAACGAGAAATTTTAAAGAAAGGTTTAAAGAATTATGAAAGTAGAGAAAAAGACGCCCATATATAAGACCCAAAGAAGGACTTTGGTTTTTTTTTTTTTTCTTTACATATGTATTGTTCAAATTATTCAAAAAGAACCAAAGGTATACAAGAGTGGTTAGTGAAACACATACATGGATCAAAAATCAAGGACTGATTATTTTTTGAAAAGCACATTCATTTCAAACAAAGAAAATAAAGCAACCTTTTCCTGGAACAAATAGCCCAGTAGCTCTTGCTCTCTTACATCAAAATTTATCTAAAACAAACAAACAAAAAAAAAGAAAAAAAGAAAAGAAAAAGATCCAGGATCACTCAATTTGTTAACTAGTTAACTTATTAAATAAAATTTACATATAATTTTAGATACTAGCATGTTAATATACAGTTGTACATTAATAGTAGAAAATTTTCAAACATAGTGTTTTAAAGTTAGACTAGCTTGTGCTAATTTAAAATTCCCTGTGGAAAAAACAAGCGCCCTGAGAAATGAAGAGAACTGCTCAAAATTACGAAGTGAACTAGACAAGCATGCACTGCATTCAATCTCCTGTACCACCAAAAGAATAAAGAGTAAATCACTATCAGAGCAGATACTAGAAACCAGACCTCATTTCTATGCAGCATCATCTCTATGTTATGACTAAAGAAACCGCTAGGAATATCGAAAGATAGATACTGCATCTTCTCTCCATAGGTGGAAAAAAAAACTTTTGAAAGTCAACCCAAATGTAGAATAGAGTTTATTACAACCCAAGAATGAGAGTGGGAGCAGGGCTAGAGGATGGGTGAACAGTAGATACTAAAACAAGTAGGCTAGGCATGGTAGCACATGCCTGTAATCCCAGAACTCAGGAGGGCAGCAGGCAGAATTTTGAGTTCAGAATAGCCTAGCCTACAGTGAGTTCCAGGTCAGCCAGTTATGTGCTAAGACCCTGTCTCAAAACAACCAACAAACACACACAATAAAACACAAATTAGGCTGAATGTGTAGTCTGTCATCTCAGTACTTGGGAGGTAGAGACAAGAAGATCTGGAGTTCAAAGTCAGTCTCAGCCATATAACAAGTTTAAGGCCAGCCTGGGCTATATAAGGCTCTGACTCAAAAAAAGCTAATAAAATAATAAAGAAGAAAAAAAGGAAAAACCCAAACAAAAAATCCACAATAGAAGGAAGAAATTCTAATGTCCACACAACAGTGGGATGACTACAGTTCATAATAACCTATTATATATTTTAGGAAGAAACAGAAAATAGCTAAAGGTTTCAAACATTAAGAAATAAGATAAAAATGCTAATTATCCTAATCTGATCAGTACACATTGTGTACAGGTGTTAGAATATCACAACATATCACACCAATATAAAAATTAGTAAAAAGAAATTCTTTGAATTAAAAAGAACTTTGTAAAATAAAAATACCACATTACACAGGATTCAACCTAAGAATAAACTACCTCTAGCTCTCTCACTCCTTAAAATAGTCCTATTTATTAGCTATTTAAAATCTTCATTATCTCACACTAAGATAAAAAGTTCTAAACAGTGATAAAAAACACATTTGAAGTTTGAAGCTTTAAATGGGGAAGTATGGGGGGGAAATCTCTTAAAATGAACTTAAAAAAATCTTTTATTTATTATTTTTATTTTATGCGTGTGTATTGTCTGCATATATGTAGGTGAACCCATGTCATATAATGGCCACAGATGTCAGAAGAGGGCACCAGATCCCCTGGAAATGGAGTTACAGATGGTTGTTAGCTACCATATGGGTGCTGGGAACTGAACCCAGGTCCTCTGCAAGAGTAGTCAGTGCTGTTAACTGCTGACTCTCTTCAGGCCCATTAAACTTTTCTAAAAGATTAATGCAGCTAGTGTGGTTGGCACATAGCTACAATCCCAGCACTGAGAGGCTGAGGCTGGAGAATCAAGAATTCAAGGCCTGCCTGGACGATACTGCCTAGGATACAGAACAAATTTCAGACCAGCCTCAAAGACACTGCAACACCCTGTCCTGGGAGAAAATAAAAATCTAAATCCATAAAATACGACATTTCAAAATATTGCTTCACATAGGCAAACTATTGTTTTAAAAATAAAGACTTAAAGTCTAAATACAAAACATGCTTCTTCAGTCAGAAATGGCACAAAATAAACCAGCATAATTTTGAAGACATTACTATAGCATTAAAATACAAAAATACTCTCAACATATATCATCTAAGTATACCCATATCTATTAAAATGTGCAATTATAAGCCAGGAGTGGTGGCACATGCTTTTAATGCCAACATTTGGGAGGCAGAGACAGGCAGATCTCTGTGAGTTCCAGGCCAGCTGGGGCTACTGAGAGACCCTGTCTCAAAAAAATAAATTAAAAAATGCACGATTCTAAGAACATGTATTTTCAGCCAGAGTTTATATATTTGAAAGCGCTATGGAATTTCTATAGACACAATTTTTCTAAACTTAAAAAAGTGTTCCAGGCATGGTGGTCCATGCCTTTACTCCCAGCACTCGGGAGGCAGAGGCAGGCCCGGTCTACATAGCAAGCTCCAGGCCAGCTGGGCTACAGGGAGACCCTGTCTCAAAAAGACCAAAAAAAAAAAAAAAAAAAAAAGTGCAATATACTTATAAATAAAGTTGAATTACCTTGTCCAGAGCAAACTTTGTGTCTCCTACTGAAGATAACGACAGTGTGTGTGATCCAACAAGTGCAAAGTTGCTGGTGCGCACAGCATGGAATCCTCCTGGGCTAGCCATAACTATAAGTAAAGAGAATAAAGTTTAGTTTGGATTGGCTTTCTAAGTAATAAACAATGCTTCCTAACCCACTCAAACACAATGAAATCAAACTATGACAAAGAAACTGGCTCATATTCCTCCTTTTCTTTTTCTTTCTTTTGTTGTTTGTTTTGCTTTGCTTTTTTTTTTTAACTTTAAAAAAAATTTTATTTATTATTTTTATTTTATGTGTATGTGTGTATTGCCTGTATGTAGGTAAGTACACCTGTGTCGTGCAATGCCCGCAGAGGTCAGAAGAGGCTGTTGGATCCCCTGGGACTGGAGTTATGGACAATTGTTAGCTGCCGTGTGGGTGCTGGGATTCGAACCCAGGTCTTTTGCAAGAACAACCAGTTTTCTTAGCCACTGAACCATTTCTCCAGGCCCTTTTTTTAAATTTTTTATCTATCTATCTATTTATTTATTTATTTTTTGATGTTTTTGAGACCAAAGTCTACCTGTAGTCCCAGCTGGCCTGGAACTCACTATGGCAACCAGGCTGGCCCCAATCTCAAAGAGATCCACCTGTCTCTGCCTCCCAAGTATGGGGAGTAAAGGTGTGTGCTACCATAGCTATTTATTTATTTATTTATTTATTTATTTATTATGTAAATGAGTGGTTTTGCCTGCATATATGTAAGTGTACCACATGTATGCAATACCCAAGACCAGAAGGCATCAGATCTGGAACTAGAATTACAGAAGGTTGTGAGCTGCCATGTGGGTGCTAGGAACTGAACCTGGATCCTCTGCAAGAGCACTTAGTGCTCTTAACCACTGAGCTGTCTCTCCAGTCTCAGCTTTATTTTTGTCTTTCAAGACAAGGTCTCACCCTTGAATGAAAGTTACTTATATAACCCAGAGTAGTCTTGAACTCAGCAATCTTCCTGCCTTGGCCTTTCAAGTGGTGAGATCACAAGTATGAGCCACCATGCCCAGTTTTATTTTGTGTGTGTGTAAACCAAATCAAGAAGGCACACACAGCACATGTGCACATGCGCGTGTGAATATATTTATGCAGGTATATAATTGCTCAACTCTTTTCATTATTCTAAAGTTCAGAGTCATTTATGATCTACTCACCTGAAGAATGAAGGTTGCTCTTCTAACAACAACAAAAAAAAGTATGAAGATACATTAATTTATTTCCTTTGTTTGGTGTGAAGATTTTAACAGTAAACACAACATTTTAACACTACAAGGACTATATTTCAGAAAACATTTTTTCCTACAAAAAAATTGGGATTCCTCTCCTATTGATATATATTTCTTTGTTTTAAGAGAGTGTTACTATAATATCCCACAATGGACTTGGAACATAGTCCAGAGGCTTTACCTCTTAAGTGCTAGGACCCACTTTAAAGAGTTCCATAGTAATAAAGGTTTAAAATTGGCTGACCATTATATAGTTTTATATCCAAAATGTATATTTATCAAGAGAATTCAACTTTGAAAAAAATTCTACTTACTATAGTCATAGATGTGAGGAGTCTCTTTGGAGTAATAGTCTACAAGAAAAGACAGCTTAGAATATGTTCTATTAAATATTGCAATACAAAGTCTAAAACTAGTGTTTTTCACAGAGAAAATAATTCTTAAATATGAAAAGATCATATTTAATTTCTTTATTAAGGGTTTTCCAAATACTTCTAACCTTTTTTAATTAATGCCAAAGAAATTTTTTTCATTCTTCCCAAAATCCCCAACAAAAAGTTAGAATAAAGAAAGAATTAAAAAAGAAAAAATATTTGATGAGTTAGAAGAAAACAAAAAAGCAAAGACTAGAAAAGAGGAAAGCGAGTTCTTAAATGATTACATTCAGTACTGGTTTAGAGGAGTCACTGAGACAAGAGTACAGAGGAAAGCTTTTCAGAGCAAAGAAAAGGTTTAATCAGTAAAAAAGCAGTTTTAAAGTAAATATACAGAAAATCGTATGCATTAGAAGGACCATGATTGCCGGATGCGGTGGTGGACACCTTTAATCCCAGCACTTGGGAGGCAGAGGCAGGCGGATCTCTGTGCGTTCAAGGCCAGCCTGGTCTACATAGTGAGTTCCAGGTCAGCTGGGGCTACAGGGAGACCCTGTCTCAAAAAGACGAAAAAAAAAAAAGGAGACCCATAATCAAACTTATGATTCTACTTACTGCAGTAAGTAGAAATTTGGATATAATTAATCATAAAAACACTTCATACTCACTGAAACTTATGACTAAAGCTAGTACGATATTCTGACTATAGTGTTTATACTAGGTTGCTATAATTCTCACCTTGGATTTGGATGCTTTCTTCTTCTTATCAGGGCCTGAGGAATCTTTCTTTTGTACCTACACAAATCCAGAGTATAAGTAGCTGAAGATCTGATATCATTACAGAAAATGTACTATTGTTTATTCAGAAAGCTTTAACTGCTTACCAAGCTGTAAACTTCAACATTTATTTCAAAGTCATTGGATACATCATTCCTGAAAAAGAAATTATAAAATTAATAAAAACTGAAAGAAAAACCTAAAGTTACACATTTAAAAATAACGTACTAAAGGACTCAAAGGAAAAGAATCCATTGTGTTTCTAAGTAAATACGTAAGAATGATCTATTTTTTCCTACAATCTATTTTTATTACAACTCAGAAATATTTGAGTTCGAAATTCAAGGTCTTGAATACTAATAGAAGTAGGGTCGGTGAGATGGCTCTGCAGGCAAAGTGCGTGACACCTAAATGAATAACAACTTGAGTAAGAGCCCAGAAACCATGTAGTGGAAGGAGAGCAACACTCCCACAACTTGTCTTCCTATCTTCCACACATGTGCAACGACACGAGTACAAAAATCCTCCCATCCACAAAGACATAAGCAAAATGTAAATTTTTTTAAATAAATGATAGTAATAACAAAAGCAGAAATGTTTGTCAGATTGATTCTGTAGAATCAAAAATATCTCTGTGACAATAAATACAAATATGTATTTCTTAAGAATGAATATTAAGTACATTATGTGACTTATATCACATATGTAAAAAGGATTTTGCAAAATAGTGAAGCATTTATATACTCTGTAGGTGCAATCAAATGGAAAAAAAGTGCATTACTCAGTAAGGCAAAAAAAAAAAAAGAGAAACAACAGAGTTAAACCAAGGGGGCTGGAGAGATGGCTAAGTGGTTAAGAGCACTGGCTGCTCTTGCAGAGGACCTGGGTTCAATTCCCAGCACCCACAAAGGTGCGAAAAACCATCTGTAACTCCAGTTCCAGGGAATCCAACATCCTCTCCTGATTTCCGCAGACACTGCATGACACAGGTACACTTGTAGACATGCATGCAGTATACTCATACACATACACATAAAATAATATTTTTTAAAAAAGTTAAACAAGAACTCTCCTACCCACAGACCTCACTCCTGGGAAAGCCCATCACATCATCAGGGACTTGACTCCCCACCCTCATTAACCATCCCATATAACTGGCTAGTCTTTCGTAATTTGGGTCCTGTCCCATTCCTTGTCTTCGGGCCCCAGAAACCTGGTGAATCAATACTGCTTCCTGATCCTTTTCATCCAGACCAATGGAGTGCCTTCTCTGGGCCCCAGGAGCACTATTTCTGGGCCTGACCCCCACCCCCTCCCTCTGCTTCCCTAGGTTTGCACCAAACACAAGCCTCTTTCTAGGACACGGGGGCTGACCTTTCCTCTTCTTGATTCTTTGTATCCAGAACAAACCAGCTCCTCAGTAGAGTCCCCAGGAGTCCTTGGGGCCTCTTCCCGCCCCATCTGCCTTTGCATCTCTGGGTGGCAAGGCCACCAGCTGCCCTAGACCAACATCTTTCCTGGGCCAGGCTCCCAGGCCAGTCCAAGCACCAAATTCCTGGAACCAAAATGATTCCTGGACGGATCCAGTCCTTAGGAGAAAGCCAGAAAACATCTGACCCTCACCTGAATTGGGCCTCGGTGGGAACACCTGAAGACAAAAGCAATCCAGCCACTCCAATATAAAATCAAAACAGAGAACCAGAAGGATACACGAACCAGCTTTTCATGACCAAAAAAGTAAAACACAAAGACACATAAAGTTCACAAAAAGAAGTAGACCTAAACTTGAAGGCCTGAGTCTCACATAAGAATCAGAAACTACAAAAGAAATACACATGTCAAAATCAAAGAGAAAACATACTAATATGAAAAACCAAAATAACATATCCCCACCAAATAACAATAGTCCTCTAGAGGAGTACAATGATAACCCCCTACAGATAATGCAGGACATGGAACGCAAAAGAACAGTTATAAACATAATAAAAGAATTCGGTGAATTTAAAGAACACCCAAAAAAAGAAATCAAAGAACTGAAGGAAGACAGGGATAAACTTCTGAATGAATTCAGAAAAGAGTTAG